TTTTCCAGAAACCGATTAGGAAAGGCCTATTAGCCAAAACGGCTATCATATTCGGAATCAGCATGATCGATTACCTATAAGCTACCGCATTTCGTTAGAAAAGCGATTTGACAGTTCGATATGTTCCCTCATCAGCTGTTTCTATACAGCACGTTCGAAAAAGAGAACGCGGATAGAAACACAAAAGAATATAATAGGGTATACTAAAATTATCACATAATATGTGATAATTACGGTGACCGTTTAAGTGCCGTTTTTTTGTTGCAGTCAAAAATTGGTATAAAACACATATCAACTTAAGTTCAACGTATTTTAATGTTTAAAAACTCATTTGTGCTCATTAAAATACGATTTAAGATGGAACAAATTTTAACATGAAATATTTTATTTTTCAAATTTTTAAGAAAAATCTTACAATATCTTACAAAGTCTTGCAAGATTCTTGTACTAAGAATCATATAAGGTTTTCGCTTCTATCTTATACCAGCAATCTTACAAGATTGTTACTTCACGATCTTATAAGATCTTAGACGAAAAATCTTATCAAATCGTATTGTCTGTAAGGTCTTACAAGATCTTAATCTGATTTTTTGACCTGGGTAGTAGAGTTATGATGAATTTTTCGAGACTCTATCTATGATAGGATTAAAAAAATAAGAGAGACTTATGTTCTAATTTGGCCCATAATATAAATTACAGTTTTTGAGATCTAATCAGGCTGACACAGTGTCATTTTTATCTTATTCACCACCTCTCTGTTGCCGACAAAAACTCTAACTGCCGCTGTTTTTCTCTCTCGAGAAGTTAGATAGAAAAGATCTCAGAAAAATTCTAAAATATAAAGCAAAACACCACAAACCATTGTTTTAGACCAATCTAACCCCGGTAATATAGTAGTGCTGATTTTCATCCACTATATTCATTTCTAGATAGCTGAGAAATGTTACTTTTCAACTCATTTCATTTTGTAAGCTGATTTACTCTTCAACAAACTTATTCGTTTGATTCAAATGTTTTTCCTAGAGTTAACCTAACTAACAGCAGAAAAATTAGTCATATTTATAAACATGTAAGCTAGAATAATACATCGTAACGTGGTTGTTATCGCATGTCTACATTGTTGGAAGCTAAAGAAGAAAACAAAGCTGTAATATGAGATTGCCATGAGGTTGCTTAAGAACTTTTAATGTATTGAATAGACAAATGAACTTCGCCGTGTGATGATAAATGAAGATGTGTCGGCAACTTGACCCAACCGTCGAACGGTTTACCAAGAATTATTGGATTTAAATCAATTTTAGCTGAACCAATCAAATCATGACCCACTATGTCCGCATCGAAAACATGCACATGTAAATGATGGTGACCTTGAGGAACTGGCCTGAAAAAAAGCAATAAGCGAATCACTAAAAGAAATAGAAAAATATATCGTACACTTACAGAATCAATGTTTCGTTCCACGAGGGAGAATCAGTGTTACTCTGAGTCGATGTTCGCTGCTTGTAATGCTTATCAATCGACACTTCAACATAAGGGTCATTTTTATCAACTAAATCTTCATGGTACAAGTCACGCGCTTCAATAACCGTCACTTGAAGTTGTCCGTGCGTCATAGTTACAAATAAATGTATGTATCGCTTTGAAAATCAACGTGGAATGATGGTCGTAGGGTGTTACTTTACTTTTACTAATTATTACATTAGCCGGTAAAAGTAGTACGCGTTTGTTACTTATTACCGGTAAAAAGGTAATAAATCTTGTTGTTTTATTACGTATTACTTTTCTTCTTATCGTAATAGATAAAGTAATAAAAGATTATTTTATTTTTTATAGAAACTTTATTTATCAATCGAACAACATAGACACAAACACAACCGAGCGTAATAACGTTCATTATAGCATTCACACATGCGAACATCGGTTATGAAGGAAAGAGAAAATAAAAAGAAAAGATTATAACTTGAGAAAAGTAATAAGTAATACGATAATAGAATTTTATTACTTGTTTTCCGATAACAACTAATAAGTTTTATTACTTAGCACTTGGTAAAGAAGAGTAAAGTAGCATATCATGTCTAGAATAATAGTACTAAAATGTCAAATAGTACAAAGTGTTATGGTAAGTTTATATCTTTACTAAAAAGGCCAGCGATCAAATGACCATTGCACGCCTAACAATCATGCGGATGGAAACAGTTGGTGGGCATAATGACAAGATGGAATAAAAAATAAAAGAAAACAAAAGGAAAATGATAGAAGTAGACAGGCGTGATGGTGAGTATTATGGTTCTTTTATACTAAATTTCTAATTTACTTATTGCAGATTATTATAGAAGGAAAAGTTTACTTACAGAATTAAATTGCCATAAAAAGATGTTACTAATAGTCTTGTTCATCTTTCTTACTAGAACTAGGTCATGATAGTCAGCTGCACCTAAAGAATAATGCATTTTAATGCACCAAGTCACTTCTTTCAGAAACATGATGACAGCCGATTGATGTTGAAGAAATATTATTGCGGCAAACAGCAAATTATTTGATTTCATGATGAGAAATCATAAATAACGTTTTATACTTGGAGTAGCCAATCGCCGATTTCGATCGAGAATCGAATAATTGAAATTTGATAATTCAATTCTTAATCAAAATCGGTGATTGTCTACAGTGAAAAATACTTTTATATGTGAAAAACAAGAACTCATAACATTACCAAAATTTTTTGTTTTATATAGGCTCAAGATCTTCCAATACCCAGGAGTCTCGGTCTTGGTCGTGGAGCATGTCTATAAACAAGCAGGTAGGTTTAAGTTAGAAGTTCTCTTCTTTCATGGATCATTGATTTTATCGAAAGAAACCGAATAATCGAACATCGATTATTCGAAATCGGTGAATGCCCAACTTGGAGCAATAACAGAGTCGAAGCTAAATACTAGGATCTTTCTCATTGAGTCGAACCACCAACCGGTTTTCAGCGCTGAGGTAAAAGAAAGCGAAACATAAAGAGAATGTATACGCTGATTCACCTTGATGTTTGACTGTACATAGGGGTGTCACTTTACTCTTCTTTACCAAGTGATAAGTAATAAAATTTATTAGTTTTTATCAGGAAACAAGTAATAAATGAACAACGAAAAGTGATAAAAAGTAATAAGTAAAATAATAAAAAATTATTACTTGAAAAAGTATTAAGTAATAAAACAACAAGATTTATTCCTTTTTTATCGATAATAAGTAACAAACGTGTACTGCTTTTACCGGATAATGTAATAATTAGTAAAAGTAAAGTAGGATCCCCAATTGTCAATTGTGAAGAAGAAGAATTGTAGAACAAAAGTGGGTATATTTTAAAACAAGCGAAACATACAAACAGAAAGCAGAGATCGAATCCGATAATGCATGGTTAACTTGAACCTGATTCGATTCGAATTGCTTACATCTCAAATCTCATGCGAACAACTGGGAAACGTTTCATCGTTGACTCAACACTGATCCGAAGCTGAAAACCGTCCTTCGGAAGGTACATTGTCGAAGTGCGTTTGAAATATACATTGCGATAAAAAGAAAGATACGATCTACTGCTTTGAACTAACCTGTGGGCGCACAACATCTATTCTTTAGTCGTATTTTAGCAACCTCGTAGGTTCCATGTAGTGAAACGAACTTGCAGTCGATTTACTTGCAGAATTAAACCGTTTACTCTGATATTCCCAATTTTTTCTGGAAGCTAACTACAAGAATGCACCTTTTTAAAATTTTTGAAATTCTGACTACATAATTTTGTTCAGAATTGTTTTGCTGATCACGCCTATGAATAAATTTTTGAGAAATTTGATGAATTATGAAATCGTCTTGTTGCCTGTTCTTCTAATAGATACAGTAGGTATGGAGCACTGTAATAGTTGAAATCGCATAAATATCATGCTCTTGTGATTACGAAGAGAATTGATCATATGCGAAAGAAATGGACAGTCTTTTAGCTCCAGTGCTATTTGATAAATCAGAAGATGGATATATTTGAACCTCTACACGTTCTTACTACATGATACGTTAACTATGCTCTTGTCATAGCTTAATACCTGCAAGAACACAATTATTAAGTAACGTTTAAACACACCAAGTACGTACAATGTTATAAATGTTTAAAGCATGGGAACGCCTAAGGTTAGAAATCGGCCACTCTCTTTTTCGAGTAAAAATGGCTTCCTATCAACGAAAAACGCCACAGTATTCAATCCCAGATGGAATGAGATACATTTCTTCACTAAAATCCTGTTAATTTCTCGACAATACCATTCACATCGACAACCTCCAAATAGCCCTACATAATGAGTAAACGCTACTTCTCTCATCCTTCTTACACAGAGGCTAACAAAACACATGAATCGATAGCTCTTGAAATTCTCTACAAACTGAGCTAGTCAGAATATCTGCACTGGTTGGGACAGTCGCCGCAGACATGCAAAGGAAATGTTCGAGTACCGAAAACACCAGTAGAACACTCCTTTAGTCATATTTTCTCCATCAGCAAAACATCATACACTTCTCTATAGTATGCCGTTCGATAGCCCTTCAAATTCTTTACAAACTGAGCTAATCAAAATGTCTGTACTGGTCGGGTGCATCACCAAAGACATACAAAGTAAGCGTTGGAGTACGAAAAACACCTGCAACATACCGCTTTAGTCATTTCTCTGTTATAATGAAAAATTATGCGCTATCTCCATAGTATGCTGTTCAATAGTTCTTCAAATTCTCTACAAACTGAGCTGGTCACAATGTCTTGATCAGTTGGGTCAATCTTTGCTGGTGAGTGGTCTGTTGGTGTTTCCGGCACTTGAATGCCTCTGTTGGACGCCTATGCAGACTTATTTTCACAAAATTCTAATAGGAATCTATATTCCCTGGATAATCCACAAATTGTCTCTTTCTCTGAAAATGAATTCTACTTTGAACTTCTTGACGGGGTACAAATAGATTTTACGATAGCCTATTCTATAGCCTGTGAAATTCTCTATCAAATGAGGTATTGCGTGATTTATTATTCAATGAGTCTTTATTTCAGAAATCGGACTTTAAGAGAGTAGTGTAGCATAAATTAATGCTAATTAGAGCTAATCATATTGATAGCTTTATTGTCGTTCGAAAGATATTCATACTCCCTTTATATACCCTTCTTATGGAAACCTCTGGAACTTGCTTGAGAGTGATTCTTTCAAGAGCGTACCATAATTACATCGACTTTAACCGAATGGAATGAAACTTTCTGAATTTGTAGGACTAGTAACCCTAAGCATAGCTGTAGGGGCAAAAAAGTTTTAAAACCTTTGGAAGGGGTCCGAAGGAGGGAGCCAAGGTAGGTTTTCCTAGCAAAACTGGACCATGGCTAGCTTTCCTATTTCAAATGATAGAAGTCTGAAAATTCTACCATAGATACTACTCGTTGAGTTGATCATTTTTTGTAGCGGACGTTTTTTTCCCCCGGGTTCTGTTTTTTGGGAAATTGCTATAGGAAATCCTAATTTTTCGCGTTTTTTGGGCTCAAGTATCTCTATGAAGCTCAAATCAAATTTTAACTTTTATTAGTGCTCTTGAATCGTCTAATTGTCTTCTATCTAATGCTGAAATCCGCAGGTCTCCAGCTTGTTTCTGAACCAAATGGCAAAGCCATCTTTGAGCCCTACTTTCGATGTTTTCCCAACTTTGAACTCTCCTCACGAACAACTGTCGGATTCCCAAAACCTGTCCTATAGTGGAACTTCATCAGCACACCTAGCTCTACCATTCCTGAAATTTTCGTTTTTGGTCAATGCAATTTGACTGAGAAAAGCGACTCCAAAGTTGTGAAAAAAATGCATTGTTATAACTATTGTCAATACTATATCATAAGGATTGTTTTCAGCGAAAAGGTCACTTCCTATGTAAATTTTCATGCTGATTATAAATATGCTGCTACTCTTTATGTTTCGCCCAATGAAGATATGCAACATTTTCTAGCAACTTCAGGTTACTATTGTTAGTAGACCCTAATAAGAAAGCGCTGTTTATCGTTGTTAAGATTTCGCACATGGTATAGGAAAATTGTAAAGCATTATGTATGATGTTTTTAGTATTGATTAGTGTCGTTTTTATTCCTCTATGCAGAAGTCTTTTCTGCGGAAAAACTTTAGTCTACCAAGTCAGAATTAGATGCTGTTTATTAGTGCAGATAATGGAATAGCAAATATAGGAGAAAAGAAAAAAGGTTTTAGAAAAATGAGAGAAAATATTAAGTATGAACTTAAAGTCATGTGAAAATGATACCGTAAAGGATTATATCTAATCTCATTGATGACTATCTTCGTAAAGTGTTTCAATGTCGTTCAATTGAGAAATTGTAATGGAAATAGTTCTTGGTGTCGTTTTCGGTAATGAATTGAGTACCCAAATAACATCTGTTGGATTGATTATTCTTGGTGTCATCATGGATGGAAATATTATTCTTGGTCCATAGAAGCTCCAACGCTCCCTAAAGACTTATCGAAACTATTCATTTTGGCTAACCACCATTTACCATTGTAAACAACAACATCATAGTCACCAGCTTTTTAAACATGTATCGAATAAATAGGAGTGATTGTTTTCCTTTTGATAAACTGCAACATTTTGAATGATGTTGATGTTGATAGATTCGAAACGATTTTGCATTTCACTTCACCTATGGTAATCGGTTCGAAATGATGAAATTGACGAAGACCAGGAATAGCAGTATGTAATCGACTCCACCGTTTCTTTAATACTGTTGAATAAATATCTTCGATTGATTGTTTGTCTAAATACCATACCTACGATTATGAAAACGAGATAAAATTGATTTTATTAACATGCAAAATATTTTGTAAGTTTACTTCACAAGTTCGAAATTGCTCGAGATTAGATACTGCCGAAGTGGCAGAAGGTGGTTTTTCACCGAACAAGGTATTATATAAAACTCTTTTTTTCCCAAACATTTTCCAAAACCTAAAACATATCAGGATATTCGTTTGTCGGTTTTCGAAAATACCTTTTCGGGTGTTTGAATTATTTCCTATAAAACCCTTCGGTTTTCGAAAGGTAGAAAACTCTCTAGCGTTTTAGAAAAGACCTTTTCGATTGTGTTAGACGCATTTCGGAACCTTATTCCGTTTTGAAAAATAACGTTTTCTTTTTTTTCAAATTCAGAATGATCTTAAGAGGAATATTCAGAAACCCA